GAGGCCCCCGCGCCGGCGGAGCCAACCCCCCCTCCCCTTCGTGCCCGCCCGTGTCCCCCGCGCCGAGCCCCGGCCCGCGGGCGGCGGCGGCTGTTGGTGACAGGTGAGTGCGAGGGGCCGCCCGGCCCGCGCCCCCTGGGCGGCGGCGCCCGCCGGGGCCGTTCCGCGCCCGCCGCTCCCGGTGCGCGGGGGGGGATGGCGGGGCCACGGCGAGAGCAACACCCTCCCCCAGCGCCCCGCCGCCCCCTCGCTCCGGGGAGGCGGCCGGAGCCGCCATCTTCCCACCCGAGGCGGCTCCCGGGGGAGCGGCGGCGGCGGGAGGAGAATCCCGGCGTGGGGCTGGCGGGGGCAGGGCGGGCGGGCCGCGGGGCCGCTCCCGCACTGCGGGCCGGGCACGGCGGCTGAGCTTTGCCCCCGAGCCGCCGTGTGCCGAGGGACCCGCCCGGAGCCTACCCGAGTGCCTACCCGCGGCCGATGGGACCCCCCGGAGCAGCCCTCGGCCCATCGCTCCGGGCAGCGCCGACTTCCCACACGAACGTGTTCCCGAGCTGTGTCCCGAGCAGGGGAACTGCTCAACACCTGCCAGAGCAGGCACCGCGCAGACGGTGTGTTGCCCCCAGTATTGTGGTGGTGGTGTTGTTGGCTCTTCGGTAGCTGCTTCGTCCCGGTTGTTTTCACTCTCAGTTTCAGTTTGTGCAGGTGCTCAGAACGAGCACTTAGCAGCTCTGTCCGCAGTTTAAACAGATGTGCACTTGCCAGACAGTGTTTGTTGTGTGAGATTCCTGTGTGGCAGATAAGTATAATTATTTTTATTCTGCAGGTGAGGGAATTGAGGCAGAGTGGTTAAGACTTGCCTGTGGCCACAGAGAGAGAGCTGGGTTCAAAACCACTGTTTAAACTTGAGTCACAGTTGGGGTAAAACCATGGGAATTCTGGCTTCCGATTCTTCGTCTTGTTGCTGGCCTAGTTTTGTTGGCCTCTGTGTGAATTCTTAGGAAAACTGGAGAAGGGATCTTCCTTAAGTAGTGCCTCAGGGATCACTATTGAAAGGTCTGTTGTGTGGTTTAAGTTTCGTGTCCAACTTATCTGGTTTTTACAGTTTGGATAAATTCTCAAAGGTCAAAGAATGTTGTATTCCTATTTGGTTTTTAACTTGCTGGGATTTCACAACTCTTGCGTTTTGATTCTGGTCTGGTAACTGTTTTTATCAGTTGAACTTTCACTTCTCCCTGCTGACTTGTAAGCATTTCTTCAAATTAATTCTTGAGATATGAAGTTGATCAGCTTAATCACTGTACTTATTACAACAACAGTGATATTTTCTTTTTTTTTTTTTTTTGTTGTGGGATGTGAAAGGAAGGTGAAAACTAGGGGGAGGCCTGATAAAACATATCTAGAAAAAGGTATATTTTATATATGATGTCTACAGAAAATTTTATTCTTCCAGGTGTATTGTCATTTACCTGCGTATACTACTTATATGGAAGCCACAATTATTTTTATGCTTAATTAGTCTTATATTTTGGGGGGAAAGTAATTCTTATGGGAACTGAAGTAAAAGTTTTGCTTAAATGAATTAAGAGAAAACATTTGACCTCTTGAATGTTCCCTAATAATATATGTGTTCATAGTATGTAGTCAAGTCCTTAAGCACACACAGTGTTCTGAGTTAGATTGAATTGTTTATCTTGTAATTTTTTCTGTATTTTTTTAAAGTGTTTAAACACAAACACCTGAAGGGAATAAAGGTGTCAGCACAGGTGTGTGCTGCCTTGGTTGCTTTTTGTGGCTTGCTCTAGTGCAAATATACACATCGAAAGGTAGCAATGACTGATATGTAGATATTATATATATTGCTTAGATATGTGGCTGGAACTTAAATCTACTTCACTACAGAGCCAAGTCAGAGGATCTGGAAGTGGAGGCAGTTGTGGGGGCTTTGGGATTTTGTTGAGGTTTTTTGTTTCTTTGAGACATGCAGTAACCATGTAGGCAGTTTCTAGCGATGATGTCTTATTCGATTAGAGTGAAATTAACTACTTGGTTTATTTGCTGAAATGCAAAGTAAATACAGTCAGGCTTGTCTAATCTACATGTTCCGTGGAGATCTGTTGCTGCGTCTCTTATTAAGTCTCGTATCTCGTAGTGGCTTTGGCTTTAAATCAGTTGAGAGCTTAATTGGCATGGTAATATAAACTCTTTGTTAAATATTTATTACATTACCTCACAAAACGCACATGCTAGACACGGAAAAGGCATTTTTCTGACCATAATGCGTGACAAATATAACGTGACAGCTGAAAGGTAGCAAAAAAGGAGTTATAAAAAACCAAAGTAATTAGTGTAGATGTTTTCCATCAGTTTGATTTTTTGTAAACTAGGTGGCTTTTAGGACCTTCAGCGCCATTAATGTTTAATTCCATGGTGTCTGTATATATTCATCAGGCATTCACATTCTTGTAAATTAACAGGTGAGGTACGCAAAGAAACACACGGAGCACTTGACTTACCTTTTCTAGCGCCTGTGTTGGAAGGAGCAGGTTTTGCAAAGGCCGTGGCCTTATCGATCTTGAAGAAGAAGAGCACTCTTGCCTTGGAGGGGCGAAGGTGGCTGTAGAGGCAGCTCACAAATGCAGTGGCAGGAAGGCTATTGCTGGCAGGAGGAAAAAGGCAAAGAGACCTGATGAAGAAGAGCAAAGAAATGTATTTTCAAGTCTGGAGAATGTTAAGCTTTGGGAGTGTGATTTCTGTGTCTGTGCATGTACACACGCACATGTGAGGAACTGTTAGATGACGTAAGGTGTTGAAAAAAATGTGGTTTGTAGACTGTTCTGTTCCTTTAAGCATTTACTCGCAAAATGATATTTTTAGACAACAAATTTGTGTAACTTTTAGACATAACTGTAGAAAATAATCTCAGGCTGCATTTTTTTCCTGTGTGTAATCAGTGATATTCAACTAACAGGAGTAGTGGAAGTCTCACATGTCTGTATTCAGAATGGACACACAGGTATGAGTCGGAAAGAAAGGATGTTACAAAACAGGAGGTTGTAAGGAAGAAAGTTAACCCTTCTCCTGCAGTTTTGAAAGAGGCAATGATATGTGGAGAGCTGTGTAGAAGATGGGAGTAAAAGCTACTCTTGTAGTAAAGGCCTCCGAAAGGTATATGAGCAGTGTTGTTACTAAAGCAAGGCATACACATGCTGAAATTAATGCTATCATTTTAGTCCATATAAAAAAAGATCTAAAAGGGTGGGTTTCACTACAGAAGCCAGTCATTAAATTAGGGAGGGGAAAGTGATGTAAAACTTAAACTTTGGAACAGTGCTAGTTTTATGTGATCCCTCAGAAAAGAGAAGACGCACATGTACTCAACTTCTTCCCCCTGAACTGGTAATGTGCTTTATCAGAGGTACCAGTTACAACATTTTCAAACTAATGTGTTGGGAAAGCTCTGTTTTCTTTTTCTGTGTGTTAATTCCTTTGTGCTAGGCTCAAGGAAAGCTAGTGTGTTATAACAGTCAAACACAAAATAGAGGAACTGAATATAAAACTCAGTGATATT